GTGGGGGGTGTGCAGGAGGCAGCTGATCGATGTTTCTCTCTCATCGATGTTTCCAACTCTCTCTCTCTATCCCTTCCTCTCTGTAAAAAATCAATAAAATATATTTAAAAAAAAGAAAAAAAAAAGAAAGGGTCATTCGACCCCCAAAGGGGTTGCGACCCACAGGTTGAGAACCGCTGTCTTACAGAGTATGTTGAGGTTTACTTTGGGCCCATAGTTTTAAAGGTAAAATCTGCTATTCCAATTTATAGCTATTATCTCAAAAAATATTTAAGGTTTAATAAATTACTTACCTGGCCAGTTCCATAAATACTAATGCATCTCTAAGAGACACAGGCATGTCACTGCTTATTTTATTTGTTGGTGGTTTTTGCAGATCTACAATAAGCACACCATCTTCTTCTCTAAAAACTTTCATTAAAACAGCCTTGTTATTTACCATTTTCAAAAATTCTACTTTAGCTTCTTCTCCCCAAGCTTCATTCTGTGTAAAAAGTTAAATTATAATGTACTTCATAATTATAATTAGCTCTAATGTTAAAATATTCTGAATTTAGCTTTAAACCAACCAAAGTCTGAAAATCTGAGCAGAGGCACTGAGCCAACCACAGATATCAAGTAGTAGCTGGGGCCACAAACCTAAGGACAGTCTTAGGGATGCATAGAGTGTGGGTCATACTTTGATTTATAAATATTGTCTCAAGGTTCCATAGCTACTGCACTTCAGGACTTAGTTTCATGTCTGAATATTAGTACGAAGATTATAAATATTTCAAAAAAACCCCAGTATTATATATGAATTTTCCACTTAAATGAAGAAAATTCAAAAGACAATTTTTGAAGTATAATGAAAGCCATGCAATAGAATCAAGGTATTTCTAATCATCAGTTACCTTAGTTCTCATTACTAGCAATATGTGAAGTATACACTACTTAAATAATAAAGAAAAATATTCACCCATTGGAAAAAGGTTTTTTAAGTTGATTTTTGGAATTTTAAGTTGCTAAACGTAAAGTAAATTTTAAGGATCAAAAGTACACATCCCTTAAAAACAAAAATTAAAACATTTTTCTAAGATTTTATGAGCATAAAGGTAAAACCTACTCAGAATAAAAGACTTATAAAAGAACAATTTTACCACTCTGAGGAAAACTTCACTGGCCAGCCTATTATTTTTATGTTTCCTCCTAGTTTTTTATTCATTCTTTCAAATATCTGCTAAATGTCTACTATGTGTTATGATCTGTTACATGCCTGGAGTACAATGATGAGCAAAGACACAGACTTCTTTCATAATAATATAACAACCTGACATGCATCCTTATCTCCTAGGAGTTTGCAATGTTGCTGGGGAATATGCAGATATTAATAAATAATACAAAGCATTATGCTCATTATATAGAGTAATGAACAAAGTGCCACGGAAACAGTGAAGAAATGTACAGAAATACAAACCACAACATATTTTATTTCTCCACACTTATGTGACTCCAAAACTTAGTGGTTTACTTGGATATTTCACCTATCACTATGTTCATATATGCTTATTCCACTCAATTTCCCACTAAGAACATTTCCAGTTGTGGAAAGTGAAGTTCGTCTCCTTTTTCATTGGCACTATCAGATTATTATGTAAAATGTATTTATTAGAATTGGTGTCTTAAACCTACACTCAGCAATCTGACTGGCAATACCTAGCTAAAACTGGAATACTTTAGTCCCTGAAGAAGAAAGCATAATGTCAGTTTTACTTACTGAATTCTGTGGAACAATGTCCTTCAATGAGCATGGCTGTGCTAATGGCTGGAAGTCTTTCAGCAGCCCTTCAATATATGGTTCAGACTTCCTTAGGACCAGACATAAGTCATTTAGTACTATATGTTGCTCAGCAATGTGTTCTGATTTCACATGGGTATCACCAACTCTAGGAAGAATTCCGGTAACATTTTTTGAAAATAATGCTTCAAACCCAAACTTGCTTCCCCCCGTAAAAGTTATGCATTTCTAAGGATACTCTCCTTAGGTTAAATCTTCTAGAAAGTTATAGTCTAGTTCATACTTCCTTACAATATAGATTTAATCTGGCTTTTAAGTACAGACACTGTTGCTACCTATATAATTAAATCTCAGTTGCCTTTACCTGAATTGTCTTTCATATATCCACTTAAACTTAAGGGGATAACGATGCCCCCGAGGAGGAATCTATTTATTTATAAAGCTAAGACCATTAAGTAACTAGTGATCATGCAGTAGTTAATACTGTTCCTTACTACAGAAAGACTTTCAGTTTGTTTAATTTTCCTAGAACACTGAGGGAAAAAACATTTTTGAATATCTAGAATGAGCTAGACACTATACCACTTTAACATGCATTAATAAAATTATAGAAAACTGATAAAAATTTTTGCTCACATCATTCTGCAGCTAAAAAGGAACTATTTTTATGCATAATTCCCCTGCTTTGAAGCACCAAAGAAGAGTACTTAAGTTTGGATACATCAAAAAGCTCCTTTTCCAAGTTTCCCATCCAGTAACACTGATAAATGATAATACTGTACTAATTTAAATAGTAAGATAAATTATAGAGGAAACTTAGAAAGTATATGCCTTGAAAATGAAGAAATATAAATTACTCCTCTCTACCCTTTCCCAATTTCCTTTATTCTTTAGTATCGACCCGCTCCCCAATCACAAATGTTTCCAAGCAGGCCAGGAACACACAATAATTATAAAGTATCATACCCTGCAACAATTAGGACTTCAGAATTTCCAAAATCCACCATGAATATCTGTATTAGTGCAACTTCACTGACTGAAAATTTAGTTGCACTACAATGTTTTCTAATATTTTCATTTTCTATTGGAATTAATTCAGTGATAATTCCTCGACACCACATTCCATTTCCAATACTGCTGACAAATACTATTGCACCTAAATAATGAGAGAGACAATACATTATCAATGTTAAGGGAGAAAGAATACCTACTAAGCTCTAATTTACAAATGTGTACATTAGTTCAACTACTAAGAAGTCTTAATTAATTTATCTACTCATACTATAGTACTGTGTCAAGAGCTATGAGAAGGGTAAAGGTAGTATAGTACAGTGATGGCGAACCTATGACACGCGTGTCAGAGGTGACAAGCGAACTCATTTTTTTGGTTGATTTTTCTTCATTAAATGGCATTTAAATATATAAAATAAATATCAAAAATATGTCTTTGTTTTACTATGGTTGCAAATATCAAAAAATTTCTATATATGACATGGCGCCAGAGTTAAGTTAGGGTTTTTCAAAATGCTGACACGCCGAGCTCAAAAGGTTCATCATCACTGGTATAATATGACAGTTTCTGTTATACAGAATCTTTTGAACTAAATGGGGAGATAAAAACAAAAAATACTCAGCAATCACTTTTTGAGGACCTATGTTTCATGAACTATAACAAAGATGAATGAGAGCATGCTGCCATCAAGACACTCAAGAAAGCCCTGTCTAATGTTGTTAAGTGGTTAAAGCGTTAGCACGCACCAGAGTCTCAAATACGATTTCCGGTCAAGGACACATACCTGTGTTTCGGGTTTGCTCTCTGCCCCCAGTTGGTCGGGGTGTGTGTTGAAGGCAACTGATGTGTCTCTCTAACAGTGATGTTTCTTTCTCCCTCCCCCCCCACCCCCCTTCCCTCCCACACTCTCTCTGAAAAGCAATGGAAGAAAATATCCTCGGGTGAGGATTAGCAACCACAACAAAAGAAGACACTCATGAAACACGGGCAAATAAATGGCTTTAATACATTGTACTTATAACAATAAAGACCTTCTACCCTTGTGCATGTACACACATGTATGTACAGATATACACATACTGAAATCTGTAAAATATTTTGGTAACATAAAAAAGAATCAATTACCTTCTCTTGGTTATCGGGAGAATAAAGAAACAATGAAAGGCAGAGTGTGAAATGCCAAAATTAAATTAATACACAGTGGAATTGAGAGAAGGGGAAGATGAATCAAGGACCTAATAGCAGAGAGATCAGATGAATTACAAATTAATAACTGGGAGGGCAGAGAGCAAGAAAGAAAGAGACCTGAATTTGAATGCTTACTATGAGCTCAGCAATGTTCTTAGTATTTTATGTTTGAACTCACTTATTCCCTCAACAAACCTGTGGAGATGGTACTTCCATCACATAGATGAGGAAACCAGGCAAAGAGGTTGAAAAGCTAGCCCAAGCCACATGGCTACTTAGAAGAGGTAGGAGGAGAATGCAAGTAAACTCAGAGCCCATTCTCTTAAAAACTAAGTTATGCATCACAGAAAAATTTGGTAGTACTTGATCACTGATTATATACAGAGGGCTGTTGAATAATCCCCTCTAATAAAAACAGGATAGTAGAGAGGCACATCAAGGTGGCCCTTTAAAATGTTAAGCTCTACCAAAACATTTGTTTGGCCTTCAGATTGTTGTGGACCTTCTCTTATGTTTATATACCACATAATCAATATTCTTAGTTTTAAGCTACATATATTAAACCATTCTTTCTTGCAACAGATAAGAAAAAAACCCTGTTAAAAGCCATTTGTTGTTATATATAATGAAGAACAGGTAGGAAAAGGGAACAGCCTTCTAAAGTATCATATCACATTACTCCCCTTCTCAAAATATAAATGAGTATTTAAATCATGTGTACTTACCTTGAAATGATAATTATTCTTAAAACAAAGGATGACTTTTTGGCTTTCTTGGAACATTTTCTGAATGTAAGCTGAGGTCTTTTGTGCACATACTAAATTTTGGAGAATTATTTGCACCATAAAAATTAAGTTTCATACTATACTTCCCTCCTCTTAGATACTCATAATTTGTTATTTTTTGTTTTAAAATTATTAATTTTTGTCAAAAGTGTATGATAATCCTAGGCTTCTAATATTGTTAAGCTACAAAGATGAGCTGAGAGTTAATTACACTTTTAAAGAACTACTATATAAGGCTAAACAGATAATACTAAGTCAAGCAAATCATAGCTCTCTCTTATTACAGAGTGAAATCAAATTTAGTCAAGAGGGTTATAAGGAAAATATTTTTTTAAAATATATTTTTATTGATTTCAGAGAGGAAGGGGGGACAGAGAGAGAGATAGATAGAAACATCAATGATGAGAGAGAATCATTGATCAGCTGCTTCCTGCATGTCCCTAGTGAGGATCAAGCCCGCAACCCGGGCATATGCCCTTGACCAGAATTGAACCTGGGACCCTTCAGTCCCCAGGCCAACACTCTATCCACTGAGCCAAACCAGCTAGGGCAGGAAAATATTTGTAAGGAAAGCTTAATTATGGCAAATTACACATACCCTTAGAATTAGGATAGAACAATGAAGCTTCCCAACTACCTCCATGAGGTCCTAGGAAATGGATGCTGCTGTCCTCCTGCATCTCATGAAGCATTCAATAACATCCTCAACATTCACGTGTGGATATCAAGGGACTGTCATCACACTACAAGGAATCATCTTAGAGGAACAGTTTCCCCTGGAGATAAGGGGGCAAACTACTTAACTGCCCTGCCCTGAGTTTTATCATTTAAACAAAACTCATCTTGCTCCATAACAGAGTTTTTGTGTATATCTCACTCAGAGTCAATTTTAATATTTAGCTAACTTACCTAAACAAAATTTAACTTATGTTATTTATTTTTTAAAAAATATATTTTTTATTTATTTTTCACAGAGAGGATGGGAGAGGGATAGAGTCAGAAACATCGATAAGAGAGAAACATCAGCTGCCTCCTGAACGCCCCCTACTGGGATGTGCCCGCAACCAAGATACATGCCTTTGACTGGAATTGAACCTGGGACCCTTCTTCAGTCTGCAGGCCGACGCTCTATCCACTGAGCCAAACCCGTCAGGACACAACTTATGCTAAATAATTCCAAAACTTTCATGCTTGGAGTACAAATCTGTATTACACATTTATCTGGGCTGGCCAAATATTATATTTACATAAACCTGACATTTTAACTTGGAGTAATATTTCATTACCTAGCTCCAAAATGTCTGACGGATCAAGGTGTAAACTCTTATTGCAAAACTGATTGACCATCTTTTCCAATACTGTTGCATCATTTATTTGTGAATACTTCCGAATGTAGAAGTGGCAAGGATGTATTACATGACTTACAAAAACTAGCTCTGGAGAACCTGGATAAGAACATTTAAACCACATTAATAAACTATAAGTTAGGAAAATAATTCACAAAAACTGAATGCAATATCCTCTAAACAAATAATAAGTGCTTTGTGGCACTGAAAATTCTAGAACACTTAGGTCCCACAAGAGTCCAAACCCAAAATAGTAATTAGACAGCTAAAACAAATACTCACACCTTTGATAAATAATTCTTTATCTATCTGAACTGCAAATATTTTACTTGTAAAAATGTTAAGTAAGCAGAATTGCAGTTCACCTGGTAGATTCTAATGTCAGTTGTATGTTTTAACTCCTTTTTATTACAACAAAACTTCAGAATTTATTTATGAACATATTTGGAACTTAGAACCCCATTGATAATGATTAGGTTTCTACTTTAGCCTCCCAAGCCCTGTTTAATCTATACTATACCCAAAGAACTAATAATTAGTTCATAACCCCTCTGAATCCAAAATCTTATCAGGCTAGAATGGGGTGAAAAAAAAATGTCTGGGCAAAGTCAACATATTGAGCAACATTTGCAGCGCTTCTCAACCAGTGGGTCGCGACCCTTTGGGGGTCGAACGACCATTTCATAGGGGTTGCCTAAATACATCCTGCATATCAGATATTTACATTACGAGTCATAACAGTGGCAAAATTACAGCTATGAAGTAGCAATGAAAATAATTTTATGGTTGGGAGTCACCACAACATGAGGAACTGTATTAAAGGGTCGCGGCATTAGGAAGGTTGAGAACCACTGATTTAGGGGAAGATGAGTATGTTTTGATGGAGGCAGGGATGTGGCAGAGTAAAAGACAGTGAGGGATTTCTTGTATATAACAGTAATTAAGCCAAATGTTGCTACTGATAAGATCTCTGAAGTATAATGTTAAGAACACCATTCTGTTTTAATTCCTTTCTTATAGATATTAATAGGTATGCTTTGCTTTGTGTAAAAAAAAAAAAGCCACAAAAAAATAGAGTTAGAAAAATAATATGTGTATATCTGTTTGTATATGCATAAAGAAACTCTGAAAGGGAGAGATGAACAGGATGGAATGGGTTAGAAAAAAAGTTTCACAGGGTATTTGAATACATATATTTAATTTTTGAAAAATGTCAATGTTTTATCTAGTAAAAATGTTTAAAAAACAACCTCTAGGAGGACTGGAATTAGAGATATCCAATAATGGATCGTTATCTAATACAAATCACAAAATATAGCTATATTGAGGATGGGGTAAAGGGATATGTGTAACTGGGAAGACAGCTAGAGAAGTATGATATATTTCAGAAACATGTTTGCCAATAACCACCAAAACTTTTAACATTGAAAAGTAAGTTTTAGTTATCATTAAAATTCATTTTACTCATGGCCTCACACTACATAAGAATTACTATACATACAGTAAACTCCACAACATCAAGTTCAGAGTTGTTAAAGTACCTGCTTTTGACCCAAAAGGAGCAGATGATTTTTTCTGAAGAAGCTTGTTTGGATAGCTAGGTGTCCCCATAAGATCATCTGTGAGGCATGCTTCATCAAAAGAGAAAATAAAGGCAATTATACTAATTTTAAGTTGACAATGGTATACTATTGTTTAAAAAGCTGTACCTGAATGGACAAAATACTGGAAAGGCAAGACCCCTTGCATCAGTAGATAATGTCATGAGAGGCTTCTTAACTCACTGAGGTATCAGAGATGATTATACATTAGAACTGAGAAAGCAGCATGTCCTATATGTCTTTTTTCTGTATGCAAGTATCATTCTGGAGAGTCCATCAGTGAAACTAATGTGTGTGGAAGAGAACCAAGTGGGTCTTAAAAATGATCCTCAAAAAGACTGGTAGTGTAACTACACACAGTAGTATCTTACTGTCATGTTAGTGGTGAGAACACCAACACTGGAAATTTAATCAAATCGTTACGATAAATTTAAATGTTACAAAAGAGATGCTATTACATTCATGATAGTTCATTTTTAGAACAGATTATATCTAAGATTTAAGAAAGGCTGTTCTTAAATTTAAGGACAAAGTCATGAGATTGTTTCTATAAATTTCATTTATATTTTCATCTTTTATACAAGGTTTATATGTGGAACATTAAATAGTCAAATGCCCTACTTAAATCAAATATCAAATTTATAACTGAGTTTACCTACATTATTGCACTAAAAATAAAAATTATCCTACTTTAGAAAACGTGACAGTAGGGGAGCAGTGTAAGCTAATAGCAATTCCTTTCTGTGAAGCACAGGGACAAAAGGTACTAACTTTGTTTCTAATTACAGACATGATCTATTTTTTCCTTGCTTTTATATTGTCACTCACTTTCCAGGTTTTCTTCAATAATTTCTTCAATGATCACATCAGGGCTAGATCCCATCTGGGGTAGAGCAGCAATGCTTTTAGGGGATGTTGTTGCAACAACTTCTTTCTGTGGCTGAAAGTTTTTTGCTTCCAAATGCACATCATCAGTTTCGGGTTGCAAAGGAGGTGGTAGGGGTTCATTAGTTAGGACAGGCATGTCAACCTTTTTTTTTGCTGGCGATAGGAATGTATCACGACAAGAAAATTTCTTTTCGTGATTATATTTCTTTTCAAGGTTCTGGCCAATTTCATTTTCTTGGGGGTATCTGTTGAACACAGAAGCATACATCTACTTTAGATCACTTAATAAAGTCTCTATGTCCACCCTCAAGCCATTTCCTTTCCATAGGACAGTTAACACTTGTGACACACACAAAGGGGTAAAATTACACAGGTGCTCAGGACACTTTTAAACAGCTTTCTTGCAATATAATTGACACAAAAGAAAATTCATTAAATTTTACTAAATTCACAGAGTTGTGCAACCATCACCACAATCTAATTTTAGAACATTTCTATTACCAACCGCCCCCCCCCAAAAAACAAACAAACAAACAAACAAAACAAAAACAAACTATGGCCCATTCCCAGCCCAGGGTTGGAAAAGGGCAACAAGAAGTGTAATCAATGGGACGCTGAAGAAAGGGCTTGACAGTCACCCCACAATGATCTGATCCTAAAAGAGCAGTGGATATACGTTTTCAAAAGAAGTCATTTTGCTTTTGCTTAGGTGTTTGTTTTCAAATTATGTTAAGAGTATTTCTTCTTTTAATTCACTGGCTTAAAAATAAAGTGTAGGAAACTCCACACTGTCTTCCACAAAAGTTATAAATGGAACTCCCATTTGACCCAGTAATCCCATTTCTAGAACTATATCCCAAGAAACCAGAAACACCAATCAGAAAGCATATATGCACCCCTATGTTCATAGCAGCACAATTTACAATAGCTAAGATTTGGAAACAGCCTAAGTACCCATCAGCAGATGAGTGGATTAAAAAACTGTCGTACATCTACACAATGGAATACTACGCTGCTATAATAGTAAAAACAAAGGAACTTTTACCATTTACAACAGCATGGATGGAACTGGAGAGCATTATGCTAAACGAAATAAGCCAGTCAGAGAAAGATAAATATCACATGATCTCACTCATATGTGGGATATAATGATCAACATAATTTGAATATATCCAGAGACAAATGGCAGGGGAGGGGGGTTAGAGAGCACCCAAAGGACTTGTATGCATGCATACTAGCATGACCAATGGACATAGACACTGGGGTAGTGGGGGCTTGCCCGGGGTGGGAATGGCTGGGAGGGTGGGAAGGAGGTCAATTGGGGAAAAAGAAGACATATGTAAAATTTTAGACAATAAATAAATAAGAAAAAAAATAAAGTGTAGGAAACAGTGAAGGGTATGATCCTAAGCAAATTGTTAGAAACCTCTACCTTGTCTAGAAATCACCATTAGTCTGAATCCTTTGGGTAAGGCTTTGAATATGACTATTCACTAACTCACAGCTGATTATTTATTCCATTTACTCCGTATTTTTCTATTTTCTTCATTTAGCTACACAGATTTAGGCCATGAAGTTTGTAAGTATAGAAATTTTATCAAAAAGATAAGATTGGATCTCAAAAGCTTGTATTTTAGTTAACCCATGATGGATTTAACTTGGTTACAGATCAGCATTTAGGAAGCATCTATACTAATAAAAGGGTAATATGCTAATGAGACCGGAAAACCTTCCTGGAGACCTTCTGGACGTCCTTCTGGACAAAGCAATGGTGGTGGGGCCAAGGCAGAGGTGGTTAGGGGCGATCAGGTCGGCAGGGGAGGGCAGTTGGGGGCAAGATCAGGCTGGCAGAGAGGGCAGATGGGGGCAAGCAGGCCAGCAGGGGCAGCAGGTGGGGGTGAGCATTGGGGCCAATCAGGCTGGCAGGCAGAGTGGTTAGGGGCAATCAGGCAGGCAGGCAGGCAGGTGAGCGGTTAGGAGCCAGCAGTCCCATATCGCTAGAGGGATGTCCGACTGCCGGTTTAAATCCGATCCCGCTAAACTGGCAGTCGGACATCCCCCGAGGGGTCCCAGATTGGAGAGGGTGCAGGCTGAGCTTAGGAACAAACCCCCCACCATGCACGAATTTCATGCACCGGGCCACTAGTTTTAGAAATAAGAACCAACAAAGCCAGATGGATTCAGTAATGATAAATCTTATCTGTCTCTTTCAACAATGGGTGTGCATTTAACCCACATAAAATAAGTACATGTGGAATAAAGGTCCAAGCATCTGCTGAGGATGCATATATGTGCACAGCTTTGCAATCCAAACATTTCTTTTTTTTTAAATATATTTTATTGATTTTTCACAGAGAGGAAGGGAGAGAGATAAAGAGTTAGAAACATCGATGAGAGAGAAACATCGATCAGCTGCCTCCTGCACATCTCCCACTGGAGATGTGCCCGCAACCCAAGTACATGCCCTTGACCGGAATCGAACTTGGGACCTTTCAGTCCTCAGGCCGACGCTCCATCCACTGAGCCAAACCGGTTTCGGCCAAACATTTCTTTTTATAGTAACTTTTATCTGGCCTTACTAAGACATTCAATAATTAACCAACTCCAGTCTTATAGGTAAACCCCTCCTTTGACTTCTAGAACACTCTTCTCTTGTTTGTCTTTCAGCCTCTGCCTGCTCCTTTTCAGTTTTCATGTTGTTTTGTTTGTTTGTTTTTCAGGTTACTCTTTGTATGTCCTAAAATTTCCTCCTTTTCCAGGTTACTGTCCTTGACCTACTTCAATACCTGCTTTCACTGGGCAACCCATTGTTTAATTACCACTTGTAATCAGTAGATGCAGGTTTTATAGTGAAACTTCCCTAAAAACTAGGAAAATTTTTAAAAGACTATTGAGTTAAATTTAAAATCAAGACAAGATAAACAAACTCTTTAAGAGACAGAATAACTTTTGATATTTAAAATATTTGATAGTAACCATATTTAAGTTATGAAAATGTCTGTAAAAGACATGACTGAAAAAGTGATTATCTATGGAAGCACAAAAGTAAAGTCACAGAGGCAAATATGGGGCAGGGCTCCCTATCGAGGAGGATGACTTGAGCCAAAGTTCTCTGGGAAGCTCTTCCCTGTGGTGGCGAAGAGTTATCTAGGCCTAATACTGTTAGGCCATTTAATTAATTTCATTCCCTTTATTCCAAACAAGACTGCAAACAAAGCAACTTCTGACAATTTGGCTTCTTGTGTTTATCTGGATATTGGAGAATGCCAGCATTAAATTGATAAATTGGCATTCTGACTCTATTTCAGTTTTGTGAACTTGATGTCTCTGAGTTCTTCTGGCTTAGTGTGGAATGGCTCACATCTATTCCTGGGCTTACAAGACCATGGGCTGCACTCTGCTTAGTTCCCTACAGCAATAAATGTGATGCTCCTTGGGGGATGATTTCCCTCAAGACACACCACCTACAAGTGAATGAACTTCTTTTCTTTTGGGGTTTATAAGTCATCTACCAGTATATTCTGACTACTCCTAAACCCTGAATCAAGTCCAAGACCACATCTTAAAGTTTCAGCACATTTAACCAACTGCCATCTGGACATTTTTCCCTAATACCTGGTAAACAGCACTTACTCAACATATCTACTCTTCCATCTCCCAACTTTTCTTCTTGCATTCCCAGTCTTGGTGAGTAACACCACAATCCATCAACTTAATCACCAAAGCCAGACCTATAAATCACCCAGGATGCTTCCCTCTTCCTTACTGCTCACACTCAATTACAAAGTTTTATCAATTTTCCCTACTTAGCATTTGTTGTATCTATCACTCTCTAGTGTTATTACCTACTTTTGATTTCTCATCATTTGCTGATATTGATTAAATAGTCCAACTGATCCTTCAGCCTCCAGCCTCATACTCTTCCAAATAATACTCTGTATGACCACAGAATTAATGTTTAAAAGTGTAACCTAATTATTTTACTTTCAGGCTGAGAATCTTTTTGTGGTTTGTCTATAGCTGTGTTATTCAACAGAACTTTCTGTGATCATGAAAATGTGTTGTGCTGTCCAATGTGGCTACTGAGACTTGAAATGTGGCTAGTAACTAAGGAACTGAATTTCTCAGTTTATTCAGTTTTAATGAATTTATGCTTATATATAAATGGCCACATGTGGCTAATGGCTATTACAATGGACAGCATGAGTCTAGAAAATGAAATTCAAACACCTCTGTACAGCATACAAAATTTTTAGAATTTAGCCTCTATGTTCCCTCTGCCAAATGCAGTTCCCTGAATGTTGTGTGTTATTTCACTGCACACATGTCTTTCTGCTAAGATCCATTGCTACTCATTTGTCATGGCTAAGGGCAAATAAAAATCTCCTTTTTCCAGGTCCCTTGTTATCCCCAGAACTGACCACTCCCTTCCTTTGCATCTCCATTAAATTTTGCATATATTACCATCATAACAATTATGCACTTTGTTGTTCACATGTGTCATCCTCTACTTATTGTAACTTCTCTGACATATATCTCAACATCTAAGGTTATGACTAGCACAAAATTAATGTTCAATGTTGGCTGAACAAATGAATCTCTAGAAATAACTTTGGCACACATACCAATGAATACTGATCCCTCCTAGATCTCTTTATTCTTAAATATTTTATGTAGAATATAACTGATTGAAGCTATTTTGCCCTTTATTATTTTTCAACTTTTGAGTCATATATATTATAGTAAGCATCAATTTTCTTGTCTCTTAGGCTGTTATTAATAGTATGTTGTCATTCTTATAAATACTTACTTTGTTGAGTCTTCAAAGTCAATCTTTATCATACTGTTGAACACAGAGATGATCTCACTGCAACTCATATTCAACCTACAATAAATACTAGCATGTAAGTAAATATCCTAAAACACATTTATTACTTTCTCTAAACAAAAATCAGTTGCTGACATAAAAAACTCTTAATGACAGAACACTTAAATAACTTTCTTACTTATCATAAATTACACTTATTTTTACTTGCTTGCTAAGTTGGAAAACATTTGTGACCCAAATTTTCAATTTATAATTGCTTGCTATTTTAATAAATCTAGGCTCTAATATGTTTTTATACTTGTTAGGTTCTCCTAAATTATAACTTACTTACCTCGGAGATTTCCTTAGTTTTAGAGCACTAACTTGTGGCAATTCATTCTCAAAGGTTAACTTCAAGGCGCGAATAATCTAGATTAAAAAAAAAAGTGTCTATTTTGTTAATTAGACAAAAATAGACCCAGAAACATAGAAGCATGGAACAGACTGTCAAACCTCAGAGGGAAGGCAAGGGAGGATGGGTGGGAAGAGATCAAGTGAACTTGTATGCATATATGCATAACCTGAGGACATAGACAATGGGATGGTGAGGGCATCAGGGTAGGGGGATGGGAGCAGGCATGAAGAGGTCAATGGGGGTAGAAGGGGAAGTTATATAATACTTTCATCAATAAAGATTAAAAACAGAAATCTGTTTTTGTTTATCAGTTTATGTTGTCCATAAATGAGTGAGATCATGTGTGGGAGTAAGGGGGAAAGAGCAACCAAAGGACTTACATGCAGGCATAGAGGCCTAACCAATGGACACGGACAATAGACACCAGGGGGTGAGGGCATGAGCGGGGGGTTGGGGTGCAATGGGAGGACACATATGCAATACCTTAATCAATAAAAAATAAATAAAAAAGGAGACATACCACTCATATGTAAATTTTCTTTTAATATTGTTGAAGCTGAGTAAGATTTTAGAAGAAAAGGTATATCCTTTAGGCATTTCACTAATTAATGTGTTCAAGATTTGATTTTAAGGATTTGAAGGAAGGAATGCAAATAAGTGTTTATGACTTTTTCCCCTAAAAGAAATTTAAAACTTTTGGAGATATTTATTAACAGACTAGGGGCCCGGTGCACAAAAATTTGTGCACTCGGGGTGGAGGGGGGGTCCCTCAGCCCGGCCTGTACCTCTCTGCAGTCTGGGACCCCTCAGGAGATAATGCCCCGCTGGCTTAGGCCTGCTCCCGTGTAGCAGAGGGCAGGCCCAATCCCTAGGTGCAGCCCTTGGTCGGGCTCAGAGCAGGGCCGATTGGGGAGTTGGGG